AGAGAGGTTGTGCAGCCAAGGATGTTCCCATATCAGAGTTGTTTGTCCATCACCAATGACCATTCTCAAGTGTTGTTTGAAGGAAGGGCATACTTTCATCCAGCTTCTCCATAACCAGGAGCTGCTAGCAGGTGTTTTGGAGTCAAGAAATGTGCAATTTGGGTAGTATTTGCACTTTAGGAGTCTGCTCATGAGAAGGTTGGGCTTAGTGATTATTCTCCATAGCTGTTTGAAGATAAGGGCTTCATTGAAGATCTTCAGATCAGTGAATCCCAAGCCTCCATTTTCCAGAGGGAGTGTCAGAGTTTTCCAGCTTTTCCAATGCATTCCTCTCCCATTGTTATCTCCTTTACTCCACCAGAACTTAGCTATTAACCTGTTTATCTCATCACATACTGAAATAGGAATGATAAAGCAAGACATTACAAAGACAGGTAATGCACTGAGGACTGATTTTATAAGGATTTCTCTGCCAGCAGGGGAGAGAAACTTATTCTTCCAGCTCTGAATCCTGGATCTGACTACATCAGTTACGTAGGTGAAGGTTTGCCTTTTAGAATGCCCAATTTGAAGAGGCAGGCTTAAGTATTTACAAGAAAGCTGGTGTTGTATGCCATGAAGGGTATTGCCAATGGAGTTTTGGGTTGAGATGGGAGTGTTCTTGCTGTTGAATATTGAAGATTTTTGAAGGTTTACCTTCTGTCCAGTGAACAGCTGGTAGGTTTGAAGAATCTGGAGAATGGCAGTGGCATTTTGGGTATTAGCATGGCAGAAAAGGATGGTGTCATCTGCAAAGAAAAGGTGGCTAAGGGTTGGGCCATTTCTGGAAAGTTTAATTCCCTGCAAATCTCCATTATCAACAGCCTTTTTGATAAGGCAAGAGAATAATTCAGCCACAATAATGAAAATATATGGAGATATGGGATCTCCTTGCCTTATTCCCCTGGATGGAGTCACAAAACCACTAACAGAGCCATTAATATTAAAAGAATAATGAGGGGAAGTGACACAAGCCATGATCCAATTAACAAATTTTGAATGAAACCCCATTTTTAACATGATTTTCCTAATGCTAGACCACTCAATTCTATCAAAAGCCTTTGCCATATCAAGCTTTAAAGCCATCAAAAATTTGTTACTAGAAGTATGTCTGTTGAGATAGTGAATAGCTTCATGAGCTACCACTACATTATCCATAAGACTCCTACCAGGAATGCAAGCATTTTGATTATAAGATATACAGGAGTGCAGGCAATGCTTAAGTCTAAATGCCAATATTTTAGAAATAATTTTATATGGAACACCACAAAGGCTTATGGGCCTGTAGTTAGCAACATGGGTGGGGTTAGAGCATTTAGGTATCAAGGTTATAGCTGTGTGATTCCAACTTTTCAGAATTTGGCTAGACTCAAAGAAACTCTGAATGGCAATGCAAAGATTAGATTTGACACTGTTCCAAAATTTTTGATAGAAGAGAGGGGACATACCATCAAGGCCTGGGGATTTGTTGGGGTTCATGCTACCAAGGACTCTCTTAATCTCATCCTCTCCCACTTGAGCCAGTAATGATCTGTTGGTAGCTGTGCTGATGGATTTTTGAATGCAGTCGAGTAGTCCCTCTGGTTCCCATGTACCTTCTGAAAATGGGGGGTAGTTCCTGGCTTTGAAAGTGGATTGGGCATCCTGGACTTTAATCCATTCTCCAAATTGGCATTTCTGGGGATTTCCAGCTTCGATGTCTGAAGCTCTCGAGAGACATGATCTTTCTAAATGCCTAATAAAGCCGCAGTAGTAGCAGAAATTTAGGAGTTTTTCATACTTGAAGAGAACTCTCTGAATTTTGTTGCCCAGCTGGATGTTTGTACATCTGAGCAGTGGCTCTTTAAGGTTGATAGTTGCCAGAAGTTTGATACATCTACCATTTCCAGAGTTAGAGTTGCCGATGATAACATCCTTCGCCTTTTTGAAAGCTTTCCCAATTTTGATGCCCACTTCTATGCTCAGCCAGTTCAGAGGGATACCATCTACTTGAATCCACATATCCATTTCTGAAAAGCACTCGTGGTCGGCATGTATATCTTCCTGCCATTCTCCACTTGATTTCTGATTTGCCATATTTGTGTCATTGTTTTCCGCAGACCATATAGGTGAGCTTTTCTGTCGCCAATAATTTTTCCAAATAGGCTGCGCTCGCACTCCTCAGCACTTGATAGCACATCCCCCTTCTGTAGAGGTATAATATTTTCTTCCTTTTGGCTTAAGTTACATTCTTGGAGTTTTTGCTCTAGGTTCTCCATAGATGCACTTCAAGGTTCGACACTAAGACGGAGAGATTGAGATAGAGAGTCTTGATTGAGCTGCCCAATTGACCTAGAAAGAGAAAGAAAAAAGAGGAGAACAGACGCACGAAAATGCACAAAAGAAAACCCTAGAAATAGGGGAAGAAAAGAAAAGGGGAAAAACAAACGACTGAATACAGAAAAAATTAGGATGAAGAGATTAAAAAGAGGATGATGACTTTGAACTTGATACAGCAATTACCGGCCTTCCATTGAAGGAATTACAGCTCTCCACCGAGAGAAAGAGGCTCCCCATTGGAAGAATATTTGGTGTTAACAAAACATGCATAAGTATCACAAATTCATTAAAGTCACTCTTTTTGAAAAAAAATCTTAAAAAAGTCTTTAAAAAGTTTCATTAAATGCACAAATTGAAAGTTAAATTCTGTCAAAAAAAAAAATATATATATCTATATATATATAATAAGAATTAACATTTAACAAAAATAGTAGCAAAAAAACAGGAGAAAATTTAATGCAACCTATAAATAGTAACTCTTTTTTATTTTATATTTTTATCTTTAAAAAATCATACTAACATTAAATGTTGCATTAATTTTGGGTTCAATTCATTTTATTATTTAAAAATTCCAGCTAAGATCTATTAAGTGTGCATTTTTTATTTTTATTTTTTTTCTTATAAACACCGAGTAACATTAAAATCTAAGTCTCTATATTTATAAAATCTCAATTCAAAAGGTAATAAAATTTTAGAATATTGGTCTTTATATTTATGCCTTTCAAAAAAAAGATATTGAATGCTATTCTTTACATATCAATTTTCATTAATCATCACAATTTTTTTTATTTGGAACGTGTGATAATAAACTTGGTGACGTTTATTATTATTTTTTTTTACCAATCTATTATTTTTTTATACTCGGTTTCAAAAGGTAAAATAATTTTTAAATTCTCAGTCTCAATAATTGTGCATTTAAAAAAATATATTTAATGATAATATATTATTTGTTAATAGTACACAATTTTGAAAACTCCATTATAAATTATATGTTGATATCCAAATCATTTTATAAATGCAATCGACTTTGTTAAATATCCACGAAAATATGATTAACAAAATTAGACGATCAACTTTGAATGGAAATAAAATAGAATCAATAAATCAACGTGAAGTTAAGAGGAAACTAACATAATGAATAATTTGTATAGTACACGGATCTAAAAATTAATACTCACGTGGATTCTAAAATTCAAACTTATACTTAACATCATTTTTTGGAAATTGAATAATATATTGTAGTCAAGATTTTTTTTAAATAATTTTAACATGTTTTATTTATAAAATAGTTTAGAAAAATTTTAGGTGACTTCACATCTTTCAATAAGGATATATAAAATTTTAGATACTTTACATGCGTTATATAATATTTTAGGTGTTTTTAATATTTTAAACATACATTTTTTATGTTATTTTATACAAGATAATTTTATATTGTTTACATCTGATATACGATAAATTATGTCACATATGAACTCCACATCTTAATTACAATTATTAATTAATATTGTTTACCCTCATATTTAATTTATAATTATGAGTTAATATTGTTTACTATCATCTTTAATTTATAACTAGTACGAATCCCGTGCGATGCACGGATAAGAGGTACATATTAATATTTATATTAAACGATGAGATATATTAAAACATTGGGAAATCGGTAGGATACTCCAACACTTTGCAGTAATAGATTGTTATTTACCAATGTTACTTTCTACCATCCTCGAACTTGTCACTCATCTTTGTAATGTTAACGTCACGAATTAGTCCAGTATGCGGCCACCCTGTAAAATCGCAAAACAAAAATAATATTTTCGTCAAAAAATATTAAAATAATAAATATTGACAACTATTATTAAATAACATAATGAAGAATACTAACATCACTATCGTAGAAAACTATTTCCAAATAACTTTTGTAAGAGGCATCAAACATTGTCTTAAAGATGTTGTTGGAAGTTTCAAGATAACTTTCGTATTTCATTTAAAATCCTTGATTAGACCAAGGGTTGATCCATGCCTTTATTTTAAATGTATGAGTTTATGATTAGTATTAGATTTCATTTTACCAGGAATGTGAGTTTATTTATTTGGTGCATATATATGCACTTATTTTCTAAGTTTTAAAATGTGGATTTATATAATATAAACTTATTACTTGATTTGTTTTTTTTTTTTTTTTTGCGATTGTGAGGGAAATCGGATCATATCCCAAGATTTTTTTTGATTTTGGTGGTAATAAAAACTATTCCAATAATGTTCTGTATTTATCTCTTAAATATATGATTTTTTTTTAAAAAATGGTAATAAAGACCGTTAGTAATTTGAGGTTCCCAAAACTTTTTATGTTCTCAATATTTTTTAATCTAATATGTTAACACTAACTATTTCGAATATGATAATTTGTACACCGTGAAGCTCCGGCTCCATAAAATAAGAATACTCAGCATTATTTTTACAACTCTTCGTTAGTCAAAGATTATAAGAAATTCGTCCTATAAACAGCAGAAACAACAACAAAAAATGCATTTCAACTCTTGGCAACAGATTAGCCACTAAAAAGGCAAAATTTTGTTCTTTGATCTGCCTTAACAACTGCTTCTAATTTTAACAATCCTAACTCGAGACTAAATTTCCATTCACAAGTCGGTTTTGGAAGAACATGAGGAATATTGGAAGGCAATGTCCTTAACAACTTGTATCAAGCCCTTGAGATCATTAGAACCCAACTCAAGACAATATTTCAGCAAACCACCCTCCAAAACTTCTTGCTGCAAAACTTCCACAGCTTTGCGCAATGGCCCCTGCAAATTTTTAATCGACACGATTGAAACAGTGATTAACAGGATAATAGGAAATGCAAGAAATCAATAACACAAGTTTAGCCATTTTCATCACCAATCCCTCAAACACCATTTAAGCAATCAAAACATCTATTTTTTTTTATCAATCATAGGTAAAACACTAAACCCTAAGAAAATAAAAGCAAGAACACAAAAACAGGTACACATACGGATTGACAAAAAACAGTGAGCAGCCGAGCAAAGATCGACTTCGAGACACCAAGGGCTTTCTTGTAATTCCGACCGATCCAGGCGACCCTCTCCACGTCCAACTCGATCCGGTTCAGCTCGTACAGAGCTCCCAGCAGCTCGTTCAAATACGACATTAAGCCGCCTAGGGTTCGAAACGACGCCGCGTCTCCCACGCGTACCTATACGTGGTACCATTGTTTAATATTTGATTAAAATACACAACGATTTTATCTCAAGTCCATAAGCAAAGCTGTACACGTCACTCCTTAATTCCTCATGATCGCTTTTTTTTTCGGGTCAAGATTTCTAGAAGAACGACCCCAAAGTTGTACACGTCACTCCTTGCGGTTAAATGACCTAATAATCATCATATTTATAATCCAATGACGGCAAAGTTTAATCTTATAGAGATTATGGACTCTTTCTTTCTTTTTTAATCACTCTTTTGTAGTTATCTGCAAACACTGCATATAACACCATTCATAGAAGAACAAACCGAACTTACTCTTGAATAGATGATTTACCAAACTACCCTTCGGCATGAACTTGTACACCAAAAGCCTATGACCACCAAAAGCCGATATTCTCGAACCGGGCAAAAAGGGACGGGCTTTGGGTGAAATACGTGGGATGAGCTTGGCTTTTGATTTGCCTGAGAGTCTCGTTACAGCATTATTTGCGTCCGGCTTGAGACAAATTCGTCTCGGTTTGTAATCGAAATTTATTCTTCCGGGACCCATTCATGGCGGCCGTAGGGCGAGCCTTTCCCTTCCTCTGTCGATATATCTGTGTATGAATTTTTATCGTGAACCTTTGGAGCAGATGATAAACAACTGTATTTATATAGATAAGATTCTATAGCACACGTGATTTTAGTTAGAATGATTTTGGAATGATTTAATTAAGATATATACAAATATTTGACAAAAAAATCTAACCAAATCTCGTAAAAATCGGATTGTATAAATAGATAAGGCTTGAAATCAATAACTAAAATATAAAAAAACGTTTGAATTGGTTGAAGGCGGGCAGATTCAATTTTTTACCAAAAAAAATACTCATTATAGTATTTATTTAGGCGGGAATTGAAATCTTTTTTTTTTTTTTGCTGATTTTTCACTTGATTTTTCTATCATTCCCTTTTTATATATTAATAGATTAATATTTAATATTATTTACTCGTGAGCTCATCAGACTCTTTACTACTGCAAAAGATTATTCTCATGTTCTTCATCGATCACTTCACTTGAGCAAACAAAGGTTCAACCTGGAAACTTGTTTGAGGATTAATTCACTGCAGACAAGCCCGGCTTCTTCCACCCATCATCCAGCTAGTATAGCCACCAAAAGAATAGGCATGTTCAACTTGTTCAATTCTTCGATAGATTTCCCCTTCCTTTGTAATTTATCTCACTTGATCCATGATGGAATCTGTAAGATTTTGCGCGGTTTACACGTTGATTTGGTCACCAATGGAAATTTAATTACGTCTGATTTCAATTCATTTCATGTTTAGCTGCTGCTTCTCGCTCTGATGCTAGACAAAGCTTCGAATTTTTGAATGTTAGCTTCACAATTTTTCCATAAATTGGAAATGAAATATCGAACGAAAGTAAAAACAGATCGTTGGTTCCAATTGGAAGTAATGCGGAATCTGTGTNTTCCCCCAACCCCCAGGTGCAACAATCCCCAAGTTTCCCCAAATTTTTTTAAAAAAATATTTCTCAATAATATTTTTTTTTTCCTTTTTCTTATATTTGTATTTTTCCTGGCAGGAGTAAAATTTTCGTATGGCACTTCCGGGTTCAGAGCCGAGGCTTCGTTGCTTGAGTCAACAGTGTTCCGTGTGGGAATACTGGCGGCACTCAGGTCCATTCAGACAGGGTCCACGATTGGCCTCATGATCACAGCCTCACACAACACAGTAACGGATAACGGAATCAAAGTGGCGGACCCGTCTGGCGGGATGCTGACTCAGCAATGGGAGCCATTTGCCGATGCCATTGCTAATGCCTCGGACCCACTTGCTCTCATTCAGGTGTGTAAATGCATCTTTAATGGCAACATTTTTTTATATCTGGGACTCCTTTGTGGAGTCTGTTATGAATGTGTACTTCTGTATGAGTGGGGACACTGAACATGAGATTTAATGCTTAATATCATGAATTATGGGGTAGAGGTTGGTAGGTGTGGTGTCGTTTAGCTATTTAGTGACAGTAATTCAGTTAGTAGCAAAAAACAATTTTCTTTCTTGTCTCGGTCATGTGTATTTGGTAGGTTAAGATTGTTTTTGTTCTTACAGAAACAGTTGCTGGATGATTTTGTGAAGAAGGAGAACATTACTCTTGAAAAATTGTTTATATCATCAATTATGGGGTAGAGGTTGGTAGGTGAGGTGTCGTTTAGCTGTTTAGTGACAGTAATTCAGGTAGTAGCAAAAACAATTTCCCTTCTTGTCTGGATCATGTGTATTTGGTAGGTTAAGATTGTTTTTATTCTTACTGGAACAGTTGCTGGATGATTTTGTGAAGAAGGAGAACATTACTCTTGAACGAGCCCCTGCAGCGGAAGTATTTTTGGGAAGGGACACAAGACCAAGTGGGATGTCTCTTGTTGAGGCTGCTAAACGAGTATTAGTTTTGCTTAACTTCTGATGGGTTTATATTCCATGTTTTTATGCTCCTTATCATGCAACTCTTGAAGATATCCTGGATCAATTGGGGACTAATTTCTGGTTCTAACCTAATATCGAACTGTTTTATCCTGTAATATGGTCTTTTTTAAATGACATAAATTGTTATTTTTATGTATACTTATTTTATTTTTTTAAGCAAGGATCTGGATTTTTTCCGAACTTGGAATCTTATGCATAAAGGAATTGATGCGATTGTTCTGATTTTAATTTGTCAGGGCATAAAGTCAATTATAGGAGTTTCTGTCACGGATATTGGAGTTGTGACAACCCCACAACTGCATTGGATGGTTCGTGTAAAAAATAAGGGCTTAGAAGCATCTGAGGATAAATACTTTGACCAGCTTTTAACTTCTTTTCAGTGAGTTCCAATATCACCCTACTAATCACACAGAGGTTTCACATTTTAAAGTAAAGGTTACTTTTTCCAAGATTCAAATTGTGAGAGGGCCCATGGCCCATTTTGAGATTCTTATTATGAATTTTCAGGTGCTTGCTAGATTATATTCCGCAAGGAAATATTAGCAACAAGGTGAATGACCAATTGATCGTGGATGGGGCTGATGGTGTTGGTGGACAAAAGCTTTTACAGTTGAAGTCAAAGCTGTGTAATTTAACAATTGATGTTCGTAATTTTGGTGATGGTGTATTAAATGAAGTTGCAGGTGCTGATTATGTGCAGAAAGAAAAGGTTGTACCACGCGGTTTTGGTCCTGCTGATGCTGGCATGAGGTCACCTTACTTTTCCTAAATGTTGTGTCTTTTTGCATGGTTAATCTTGTATTTGTATATTCTTTTCAAGACATTATTACTGTTTATCAAGAACTACAATGCATATGCAGTGTGCTAGTTATTGATATTCGACTATGCCTTAAATATACACAGAGAAGAAATGCTTGATGGAATCAGGCCTCAAGTCTTTTTCTGTAATTTATATACACAGAGAAGAAATGCTTGATGGAATCAAGCCTCAAGTGTTTTTCTGTAATTTGGAAACTCCGTTGGGGATCCTTTCTTGGTTTTCTTTTTTGTTTTTTTTTTTTTTTTTTTTTTTTTTTTTTTTTATAGGGGGNGTGATTTTCCTATTATCATTCTCTTTTTGTTTTTAAAATTGCTGCCTAGAGGTGCCACACACTGTAATATTTTATCATTTGCTGCTTTCCAAAAATGGCATTCACCGAGCATGCAAATTTCTTCAAGTAATGGTTTTCTAAAGGAAATTCTAACTTACCATATGATTCTAATATTTCAGATGTGCCAGTTTAGATGGAGATGCTGACCGGCTTGTATACTTCTCTGTTTTACCAAATAGTAACAAGATTGACCTTGTTGATGGGGACAAGATACTGTCCTTGTTCGCTTTATTTCTCAAGGACCAATTAAGTGTTCTTAATGGGCCTGAAGACCGAAAAAATCATAATAATTCTTACCAAGTCTCTCTTGCTGTAGTGCAGACAGCTTATGCTAATGGGGCCTCTACTGATTACTTGAAACAGTTGGGCCTCGAGGTTGTGTTGACTCCAACAGGAGTCAAATACCTTCACGAAAAAGCTGCCGAGTTTGATATCGGCATATATTTTGAGGCAAATGGGCATGGGACTATCTTGTTTTCAGATAATTTTCTGTCCTGGTTGGAGACTAGAAACAATCAACTTTCATTATCATCAAAAGGTTAATTAATTTTTTTATTTTTTGTTACATTTTTATTATATGCGTATCGATTATTATTTCATTATCATCAAAAGGTTAATTAAATTTTCTATTTTTTGTTACATTTTTATTATATGAGTATTAATTATTATTTTTACTTCCTTTTATTGTACTTTGCTTTTGATGCTGACTATTTCCAGGTTCGGATCAACAACAGGCGGCTTCGAGGTTATTGGCCGTGAGTAAATTGATTAATCAGGCTGTTGGGGATGCATTAAGTGGGTTGCTATTAGTGGAAGCTATCTTGCAGCATACAGGCTGGACTATCCATAAATGGAATGACCTCTATCAAGATTTACCGAGCAGGCAGCTTAAGGTTGGTCAATTCCTAGATACTGATTGTTTTGCCTTACAATAATTGAAATTTTCTATTTGTATCGAAACTAGAAACTTTAAACCATAAGTTCTAATAATTCTCGCGTATGTTTGGCGATTTTATAAATTCTTTAGTTTTTGTTGTGAATGCGAGACATTATATGTGTAGAAGTAGTGCGACTGTATAACTTCTGTTAAGAAGGTAAAGAATTCTCCTTCCATGAAAATCGAACCCTTTACGTATATCTCTTTATTTCATCAGGTGAAGGTTGTCGACAGGACAGCTGTCATCACGGAAAAAGCAGAAACTGTAGTTGTGAGCCCAGTTGGTTTACAAGAAGCCATTGATGCTGAAATAGGTAAAAGCTTCATTCTGCTTTGTTGTACATTCAAGTGTTGTCTTTTTTATTTTTTTTCCAAAAGGACAAATGAATTGATTGAAGAAAATAAATTTTTGTCAGCTAAATACCCAAGAGGAAGGTGTTTTGTACGACCCTCGGGAACAGAGGATGTGGTTAGAGTATATGCTGAAGCTTCTACCCAAGAAGCAGCAGATAATTTGGCTCATTCTGTAGTAAGGTCTGTCAATCAATATCTCGGTTCTCAGCAATAGCTAATGGCATATGTTGTCTTTATGTATTCTTCTGATCTATATGTGTAAGCTTTTGCTTATGGGGAGATTGTGTAATTGTAATCTTTTTCGTGTCCAAAGTTAATGCTTACTAATTCAAATCTCTATATTGTAAAGAGAACAAAGACTTGCAGAATATAATTGTTGTTTTCCGGCTATTAGTATAACTGATCAACAATCAGAGATATCGTTGGATTCCTTATTAAGAGAGCTTTCTGTACATATATATTTCATGAAAATCCAATGACTGGATTGGATCTCCTCGACAAAATTTAATGCTCACTCCATTAATGTATCCATGAAAAAACCTTACATTAGCTATGGAATTAATCTCATGGAGATGGATATTGCAATTCTAATCGGAATGGTCATTCCGTTCTAAAAAATACTAGTACAACACCGTGTATTACATGAGTGCTTGTTAAATAATTATTCTTAAATTTTAAAATTAATGAAAAAAAATTATTTTAAATTTTATTTACTTGTTTACAAAAAATTTATATTGTTATATATTTTAAAATGACAGTTGTTAGTTGTGCGACTTACATGTGTTATATTATAGTAATTTTTATAACTTATATCATATAACGACTTGAAATATAAATATATTAAATGATAAATATATTTATTTTTTAGTTAATTTAAAAAAAATTATTATTGTATAAAGATAAATATAATTCATTTTCTTATACATATAATATGGATGTCCAATTTCATCAAGAGATGATTAATTTGATATATTATATATGTAAAACTGATAAAAAATACAAAAGTTATTAACTTTTAAAATACATTTATAATTCAATAGTTATAATAAAAAATATTATTAAAATGCAATTAATACATGTAACATGACCATAAATAATCAATATATTTATGGATAATCCGGACTTAATTATTTTTAGATTGGAAGTAAATTAAAATCTACTCAGTCCTAACAATGAAACATGTATTTTGCCATATGGGATCTCAAAGCATGCGAGCCTACCACTTAGGCTCAGCACGTTTTGAATTAATATATAAGGGGATACCAATCATGGAATTAAGAATGAATAAAGAAATGATCATTCAATCTTCATATCATTCCATCATACAATCATGCTATAAAACATCAAAACAACCATATACATTTCAGAAATCTCTCTCTAACATGTTGGAATAAAATCACCCAATAAATGCACTGGGGAAATCACAGTTATATAAAAATTGGATATAAGCAATTATTTTGTTGTCCATCCACCATAGTCATGGTGATTTATACGAAAGTTTTTACTCACAAAGATCTCAGAAAGAGGTATCTACAAAAGTCATCATCACAATATTTCCAAGTTTGAAAAATGAACTGTACATACGCATACGTTTCTATTATCTTTAACCACTTTCAAACCTCAACGAAGATCAACCACATCAAACTTGAGATTAGAATTCATATAAACATGCGAACAATGCTCGTAAATGGGAGTCCCGTCCTCAGGCTCTTCGTGAGGATGAAAACTTCGCTGTTGACAGTTTCGAATGACAGAAACGCCCCCGGGATCAGAAAGGTGGAATATGCCATGAGGACTGGAATATAGATGAAGTCAAAATCAATCCTTCGAGTAAGGAGTTTCTCGAATAAGATTATTCTTGAAATTGATTAAAAGCTACTTTTTATTTTGCAGTCGAGCATTTTACCTTGATGTATCAGTAGGAGCCATGACAATTGCTATTGCTTCTGGCAACATGACCTATAAACAAGTAAAAAAAAAAACTCTTTGTACAATCTCAGTGGAGTAAAATCACATTGAACTTATTGCCTAATTTAACTTTATAATGATCTATCCATATATAGTCTCCAAATAATGCTTATTCATACCACTAACTGTCCAAATTGGCAACATGTATTATATCACACAAAAATTTCTGGAGTTGCACTATTTTTTTTTACAAGCAAAAGTAACAAATTTTCCATCCTTTTATTTACTCAGCACCAATAAAGAAGGAAAGGAGGAAAGAGATCAAAAGTAGAATATTGACAAAGAAAGTTATAACAAACACCACAAAAAACTTACCTGATATGAATAGTGAGTGTGCAGATCAACGGATGACATGAAACAAGTTTGTGTAGGATGCGTCTGCAAATCAAGAAAAAAATGACAACAGAATCTAGATAATTAATGCTATCTACATTCTACACAAGCAACTATTGAGTTATTTTCCAATCCCACCCAAATATCGAGAAAACTAAATGTTGCCTAAGCTAATAAGTGGCTAAAAGGCTGGGCAATCTAGTCATGCTAAAGGTCTAACAGCAAAAACTGAAAGGAAATACAAAGCATGTCAGCCGAAAAGTATCAACACTTACATGAATCCATCCAAGAGGAAAAAGAGAGCGCTTATCTTGAACATCGTAAATTTCCTCCTCATTCAACGTTTGACACTAATTAACAATAAAAGGAAACATGAATAGAACATCAACAGGAGAACTCTAAACAGTAGTACATTGGATAAATGAGAGACTTGAAATTAGAAGCTAAGCTGCCAACTATTGCAATCTTGATATATAAGAACTATGCCCTAGACGAAACATATAAAGTTTGTATTTGTTCTGGAAAAGGAAAAACTGGTAATTTAGTGTTGATATCAGTTAAGTAAGACATAAGCAAGAATCCTTTCTGTCACCAAAATGAACGAAATGTGGTTGCATTCAAGATTTGATTTGATAACATGACTTACAGATACTCAGAGTCATTGACTTCAGCATAAACCAAAAATGTCTATTCGTTACAACTTTATATATAAATGACTGTGAAGATTCCATATCTAATTCATGCAAACAAAACGCATAAACGCCATGGCAGACACAGTATAGGCAAAAGGCAGCATTTGAAAGAAAAAGGTTGCAAAACGCATTTAGATATTAGGATGCATATGGTACCGAATCTGAAGTAGACTCCTGCTTTGGTATAATGAGCGTGGTAATATGAAATACTCTATTCCGCTGCAAGTCATGAAACATAATACATCAGCAAGCATGGGATGCTTCAGCCAGATGTCATATTTTGCTTTGAAAATTGCTACTGAAACTAGAAACTTACAAGTGAACCAGCAAGAACGCCACAAGTTTCCAAATTCTTTGCAGTATTTTCTCGTGCCAATCTTAGAAAATCTTCCATTATCTTCACAGGCTACAAAATAAGAAACATACAGGCATCACCTCCTCCAAGATAGTAACCCAAAATGCAATTACGATAATCAATTTGGTGCATTTAACTAAAAAACAAGAAAATATTGCAAGTCCCCTGCCAATTGCATTAAGTGTCAAGAGAAACACTCACAATATGAAGATCCTGGTAAGAATTTGAACTAGGCAGCCCGTCCTCAGAGATCTTAGGAGGGCCGGGCCTTGGGTCCGCAACTTTAGATGGAGAGATGGGAAGTACCTCTGGCTGCACTTGAGCCAGAACTGGAGGTGGAGAAGGTTGCCTGATAATACCCTGCTGAAAATTGTTGTTCTCAATGCCATTCGCATGGAGAAGACCAGATTCCTCATCAAGCCATCTACCATCATCCAAAGTTAGAATAGACTCCATGGTTGACCTTTCTGCCTTTGTATCTGCTGTCGTCACAAGTTCTGTTTGGCCAACCTGATTCAGACTATAATAATAGTGACACAAGAATGTAACGTTACTAGCAAGTAATATTTTACAGTAATATATTCTATAGGTGTGTTGGGTGAATCTGGATTTATGAGTGAATAAATACATGATAAAAGGCATAGTGTAACTAAACTAAATTAAAATGATCACCGCCATCCCAAGCGGGATAGTAATATAATAAATTTGAGGAACTTACTAAATCTCAATATAAACTATACCTTGAAAAATCACTTGAATCCATAACAATATTCGTTGGATAGTTAACCTGGGTGCAGCAAAATTATTAAATTAGCCAAAACACAGAAGTCGCAAAAGCCAAAACCGGAAAAATGAGAAAATATCTTTCTGAAGGGGAAAAGTATCAAAGAAAATTAAACTCTTGAGGAAGCTCACCTTAACCTCAGCACTGGGCCCAAGCCATTGACCACGAAGGCCATTTGGTCCTAGCAATGAATGTCTGGATAATGTTTCCTGCTTTGGAAGGGGTAGATTACGAGATCTGTGAAATTCAAAAAGATCAATCAGTTACTGTACCTTACTGAAACAAAGCTGTATTTTCCTTAAGGAGATCTTTGATCAAGGTGTACAGTGAAATAGACATTAAATCATGGTAGTTCTTGCAGGGAGATAGTAATTCGAAGAAGAGTAAAGCAGGCAACAAAGCTTGAAACATTAAAGCACCAGCAGGTGCAAATGGTGGGTCCAATAAGGATGCTATGACGAATTAACCAAAGAAAAGATTTAGAAAAATAATAATAGAATATGACACGTATATATTTGGAAGGTAGGTCAGATAACACGTGTGAATGTTTCAATGAAAAATACTTAATTCTCCAACATCTATAATGTGAATGTCTATAAAACAATAAATTACCACTAACCAACTGTTTAATCTTATGACTTACATGCTACAAACCTTGGTTTCGGTTTAATCTTTCTTCAGTAGGTAACATTTTGGCGCTCTTATGTCACTAATATCTTCTAATTCCACTAAATTTAAGACATCAAAATTGCTAAACTTTTTTCCTTAAACTAAAATCAATATTGAAGGGAGATAATAAAATAAGCCAATAGTATTGCTGGTACATGATCACGTGAAGATCCTAAATGAAATCAACCTAGTCAAATTACATTGATAAACATATTCTTATACTAAAGATATCAATTACTCGTGACAAGATCTTAACAATCATGTACAACATGAAGTAACATTCTAGCAAACAGAATGAAAATCGACTAGCAACGGCATGTTCGAACCAGGAATATAGGAGAAGGCACCTCAGTAGCTAATTTTGGTATGTAAAGGAGAAGGATTAACATATAAACTAAAAACCAATGTTACAGAGTTAAAAGCACTCACAGCTTCTGGAATTGTGACTCGACAGGACTTGGTGATGAAAATCTAGTATATTCAGTCATCTGCTTCAATGAAGATGAGGGAGGCGTAATGGGATGAAACATCTGAGCGGAAACAGATCAAACATTATGCTTTANTATATATATATAGAGAGAGAGAGAGAGAGAGAGAGGCATTTGATATTCCAGTTATTACAAATATTCATAAAATTAAAACATTGCACATACTTCTTTAACTAAAATCAACACTCCGATCAAAGAGAAACATATAAAATCAAGCCAATTAATAGGTCACAAGTATTATAAGTTGTGCTATTTTGCAGGCCAAACCTATCTATGGAAGAGAGTGGGAGTGACACGAGAAGCTATCATCATCTATATCCAATCGACCAAGAATTAGCTTCACTCCCAAAAGAAGACGAGAAACTTATTTGACACAATAGTTGAGCAACATTCAGTAAGCTTTAGAGCCAATCGGCCAAATAAACAAATATCAAACTGGAGCTAAACAAGGTTCCAATTACTTGCATAAGTTTTTGTATGAAGTAAACTATCAATACCAAACAGAATTTCCCGCAGCATAAAGAATTATCGAACCGAAAAGTAATTATCCAACATCATACCTTTGGTCTCACATGCATTTTGACTTTCATGGAGAAAAGGCTGTTTTAAAGTACTTAATGGGCAAATCAGAAGCTCTGAACTACATAACTAGCTTGGTCTACAATTGCCCTCAGCGTCAATAATTCTAATTTTTCCTCAACCTCTACACAAAGCTTTACTAAAATAATAATAATAATATTTTTGTTATTATTATTATAATATTAATATTAATAATATTGAGAGTGCAATATTTCTTAGGGAACTAGAAATGATGAAAATGTTCAGCATGGTCATTTTTCAAAATAATAATAATAATAATAATAATAACAATAACAATAACAACAACAACAAAATAAGCACTTGTCATCTTCATGAATACCTGCTTGTTACTGTAGATGACGGAAGATCTGTTACTCAAAGAGGGTGCATAGGAAACTTTGTTTGGCCCACCATGCTGCTGTAGTTGAGTTGTGATGTTAACTTTTTCCAGTTCATCTACCTGACGGCTCACTTTTGGCTTCAGCGCCTCTAGCTCATCTAGCGCGCCACATACTTTCTGCAGTAGCATGCATAAAGAAAAGTTATCTAGTAGTTCCTCATCTGAAGGATGGCACCATCATGTAAATTACCAGAACGTTAATGTTACCTTCATGTGTAAACTTCTTTCTTTGGGACATAAAGTCTGGTAATCTCTATGGGAAGGTATGGTTTCCGACACCAAACTGTTTCAGTTCAAAGCATAATCTAACAGCATTAACAACTAATCATAAACTCAGAAATAAAGAAATGACATCAGATGTACAATCAATCTAAAACTTTACATTGAATATTTTAGCAGCATAGCATACAAGTCTATCAAGTTCTTCTCCTCCCTGTATATATTTGCCTGCAGAAAAATGACTTGAGAATTAATTATCACACGACAAATGTCAGATTCTTTTTCAATCTAACAACCCTTCAACCTTATATGGAGAATAAGGAACAAAAATAAATCAAGTTAAGCATCACAACCATCGATACCAATTACTAATTTACTGCCAGGCGCGCTAAAAATTTAATTGATAACTTAAGAAATCAACTAACCCAAACCAACGGGGACCCGAAAAAAAACAAGACATTATCAAATTGAACCAATGAATCAAGCACAAAGAGGAGAATCAAGCACAAAGAGGAATATCAGCAGTCATACCAGATAAATACAGTAAAGAGCAACTCCTACGCATACATAACAAAATTCAGCTTGATATCGATCGATATCAACTCACAGATTAGGGACAAACAATCAATCTACCGAATTAGATTTTTTAGGCAAAATTTCTTCGCCTGCAATGTACAGGTAGCCTCGCTTCCAATCATTTAATCAATCAAAAGGAAGGTAAGTGCGAGTAAAAACCTGTTTGAGGAGATTATCGGCGATGCGATAGTAATTGCGGAGAGAGATCCGGTTGTCTACGTAGATCGTCTGATTCATGGCACTCAAATTGAGCGACGGTGAAGAGTATGCCGGTCGTCTCATTTTTTTTTCGGCTCCGGGCAGGAATTCGTTCTCCGGTGATACGCGGGGCAAGCAAAGATGGAGGTCCGTTCAAAAGGCTAAACTGGGTCGTTTTTCGTTTTGATAGGTATTTAAGGCTTAACAATTGCGAAAATTCACAAGGGTAACACACCATAATTTCATGGCATATTTGACCATAATATCACGACCTTTATCGAAGTTGCAATTTAATCATGACATTTTTACTTTTGCAAATTATATCACAATCTTTAGCTTGTTGCAAACAGTTTGAAAACAGTCATAGAAAAGTTGATGTGGTCGAACAACAAACTGAAGATTGTAATATAGTTTGCACGGGATATGTCAATCGGTGCACCAATTTGCAACAAACTGAAGATTGTAATATAATTTGCAAAAGTAAAAAATCGTGATTAAATTGCAATTTCAAAAAATGTCATGATATTAAGGGCAATTTTGCCTAATTTCATTATGTCAATGTCTATTTTCCTTTGGACCGACATGCTTATCCGACCATCTCTGCTTTTCTTTGGTGTCTTCTTATACGTCGTATTCCGATCGATATTGTGATGCAGGCGAGGGGGTTTCCTTCCCTTTGTGGTCTGTGTCGAGCCAAACAATTCCAAATTGAGATTTTTTCACATTTGTTTTTAGAGAGCGAAGTTGCGAGGAGAGTGTGAGAGCATTTCGACTTATACTCATATATCTCTATCCACTACAGATAGTTTTTTGAGCTCCTGAGTTTTTTCTCACAGAGCATACTAGGGGTGAGCATGTGTCGGTACGGTTCAGAGATTGATAAATCTCCAGAACCGTACCGAAGTTCGGAGATCACTAAAATTCGATCTCCAGAGCTGTACCAAAAAATCGTTCGGTCCGGTTCGGAGATTTTATTTTTCGGTTCGGTTCGGTTCGATTTTCAGGATTATAGGAATGGTTCGGTTCGAATATTCAGAAATTTCTTATTATTTTTATAATTTTTTTGAAGACCCAGTTAGTTATATTTTATTTTTATATGTTTTTTTTTTTTAATCCAACATTCATCAATACTTCATCATACTAAAGATTTTATTTTTAAATCAACTTTAGAAGTAACCCTAAATTTTAGTTAAGACTAAATTCAACTAACATTGAAAATTTAAAATTCAAACAAAATATAAAGCAATATTTATTTAACCTTCCATACCATGTTAGTTTTTTTTTTCGAAAGGATAGAGGACATATATTGCTCAAACTGAAAAGAGAACATTGTTCAACTGTAAAACATCGAAACTACAAACTGAGAGGACACGCACCACAGCGGTCTAGAATCTCAACAAACTAAAAACTAGAAAGCATAACAAACAAGAACTAGAATACTAAAAGAAGCTCTCCACTGCCGAAGTCTAAGGAGCCATAAAAAGACCAACAACAATAACGAACAAACTAGAACAATCATAAAAACAAAGGAAAAAATAAAACATCAGCAAATAGAAGAGCTAAGTATGGGAACTGAATGGAAGCAAAGCAAACTCCAACCATTGCCTATGAGCAGTCTTGACAATTGTGGAGCAGAGAGACCTGTCTTTTGAAAAATCCAGAGCTTAAATATAGAATAAGGCTAAGTATCGACAACTTTAAGTAAAGCTTAAATATTTTTATTTTCTTTTAGAAAAATCTTTAACCTTTCATTCCATTTTGTTTTAAACTGTAGAAATTCAATTGTAGATCAAGTATTACTAAACATGAATTTTAAGTGAATCTTAATTGTTATTACTATATTTTATTTGTATTTTAAAAATTCTCAAATTATATAAGATCAAAGTTGACATAAAATATATTAATAACACGCATCCATTTTTATAATTCGGTTCTTAATTTCGGTTCTTCGGTTCGGTACGGTATGGGACGATTCGATTCGGTTATCGGTACGGATATTTGTGAAATCTCCAGAACCGTACCAATTATTTTTTCAGTTAGGTTCAGTTCGGATAAAGTCAAACGGTCAACGAATATTTTTCGGTTCAGAGTGATTTCAGAACGGTTCAGAATTCTCCGAGTCCCATGCTCAGCCCTAGAGCATACCATGGGCATCATCATTCCTTGTTTGATCCTTTGGTCCATCTCGACAGAAAGGAATAGTGTGAAACATATGGATATTACTTTTATGTGCTCTCAAATTATTTTTCAGGTTGATCGACATCTATCTCTCCTCACAGCTCCGAGTAGACTCACACCTAGAGATTGGACAGGTTGCATGCCGTCCCACCGCTTCTTACCATCTCTGCTGCCGCCTGTCCAGCACCCACGCCCCAGAGCTGTTGTTTGGTTGAGACTCGAGGCCCCTTGGGTTAAGTTAAACACCGACGGATCTTTCGACTGACTTATCAGAGCTCCCGAAGGTGGGGGCTGATTAGGATCACAGCGGAGCTCTCATCACCGCCTTCCACACCCCTCTTCAGACCTCCTAGAGCTACGACGCGGAGGTTCAGGTGCTTTAGATCGGCCTTCAGATGGCTGCGTCTATCTCCTCTCACAGTTGGACATTGTCGTTGTCACCACCCTCTTGACCTCAGACCACCAGAGCTCGTGGCAAATTTAGTATCCGCTCATGCGCATCAGAGCTACACTTCAGTCAGTTCGTTACCGGATCTTGCACATCTTCCATGAAGGGAACCCGCTGACTTCCCTACTTGCATCGGGGCCTCCACTCCCCAAAGGCGTATTCTTCATCCGGACGACGCCCATATCTGGCTCCATACTCTTATACGGATGGACCAGGTGGACTACCCATTGTTCATATTTGGGTAGTGGTTTTGTATTTTTTTGTGCTTCAGCCCACTCGTGGTGTAGACTACTCGTCTGGGCTTCATTCGGTCCAGGTTCAGATTTTCTCGTTTTGGTTGTTTTTTTTACTAGTTTGTTTATGTTGTTATTTCTATCTGTTTTGGACGTGTAGACTAGTGACTTTTTAGCCCATTTAGGGCCCTGACTATATACAAGTTGATGGTCCGGCTTTAATCCCCTACCCTTCCTGGATGATTTTTTGAAAAAATAAAAATATTTGTGTAAGCATGTCTTAGACGTAATCTATAACTAGTAATCATCAATTACATATGCACAAATATAAATAAATATTATAAGTTATATTTGTAAATATAATATTAAATTATAAATTAAATAATGAACATATCACATTTTTAATATAAAAATTAAATAGTATAAATATAAACTATTAAAGGATATATGAATCACTATATTGATTGAAAAAAAGTTTGAGGATCATATAATTTTTAATTTTGAAGGATCATAACCAACTAGTATGAGTCCCGTGCAGTGCACGGGTAAGAGATATTCATTAATATTTATAAATTAAAATTTCTTGTTAAATAATATTATAAATTAAAAATATGGAATAAATATGTAATATAATTTACCTATATTAATTTATTTAAAATGTTATATAAAGTTTAAATTGTGCAAAATTACATAAAAAATATCCATTTAAAATTAGTATACAACTCGTGCGGTGTACATTACTGATAATAAATTACATTATATTCGTTTCAAAATAAGTATCATTTCAAAATTTTTATTCAGAAAATCGATTTGACTATATGTGATTCCATATAATAGTTATTTTGGTAAAATGTTATCATATATTTAACAACTATGTGAATAATAAGTATAAATATAAAATTTATATTGTATAAATTATTCAAATAAAAAAAATTAAGTAGTTGAGTAATTTATTGAACTATAAATAATTGACTATTTCGTTTACGTTCAAGTTAATATTGACCCGTAAGTTATTGAGTAATTTATTAAATTATAAATAATTGACTATTTCGTTTACGTCCAAGTTAATATTCACCCGTAAGTTATGAATAATTATTTTTTATTTTTAAATTTAAATAAAAATATTTTTATTTTTTAATATATTATATACCAAATTTAAACAATGCAACTAATAAATGTAATAGCTGCAAGTTTTGTCAATATATTATATTTCAAACTTAAATCATGCAATTAATAAAGGTAATAACCGCAATATTTGACCAAAATTATTCTGTACATTAATTTAGGCGGGATTTTTCAAATTTTGGCAAAAAATATTATTCAATATAGTAAATACTTTAGGCGGGAAACCAAATATTTTTTTTGCTGATTTTTAGTTGCTATTTCAAGTAAATATCATTGCCTCTTTATATATTAATAGATTATAAAAAAAAATATCATATATATATATATATGATTTATGGCAATTTTAAATATATTAACCCTAAAAAAGAAACTTAGATAGTATTAAAAGTAATTTATGCAGTCGGGATTTTCCGAAATTTCTTATCTGACAAAAATAATTTAAACCATCCATATAAATTTGGATTCTTTTCAAACTCGAAGAAGGTAATTTAAACTGTCCATGTAGATTTGTATTCTTTCCAAATTGGTAAGTATGTGTTGTAATTTTATAAATATAGACACCCAATTGACGGTGTGATTTTTTTTTAAAAAAATGAAAAGTTTCTTCAATTCCATAAAGAGGTGTTGTAGTTTGATAAATTTCTACAACCAATTGCTGTGTGGTTGGGATTTTCCAAAAGTAATATTATTAAGTAAAAAAAATAATAATAAAAAACTCCAAAACACGTCATGGAGTCATAATTTTGTAAAAGAATTAAAAAAATTATGTAATCATAATATTTTGGATAATTAACGTAATTAATTATCTATGCTACCAATATCAATAAATTAGTTACTATACACATTAAACAATTAATATGAACATCTCATAAATAAATATTATGCATATTATATATTTATCGTAATTAATTATCTACGCTACCAATAACAATAATTAATTATCATACACATTAAACAATTATTATGCAAGTCCCATAAATAAATATTAGTCATATTAAATGAATAATGACAATAAAAATAAATAAATAAATAAATATATAAGAAAAGAACATATTGGAAGTTGGAGATGTCTTTCCTAATTCCTAATTCCTAATTCCTATTATCCAGGAGTTCACGCATACACAAATTCTTTTCGCTCAAACAGATAAACCGTTCACGCACTTCTCTGCCAAAGAACCGCTCAGTCGACAACAAATTTACCGACTTTCACGG